TTTTTTTTTTTATTTAAATATGATTAACAATTTCTCCCAGAACCATTTACTAGGTACAGATTCTATACCCAGTGTATACATTTGTTCAGATTATGGAGCATCATATGATGATAAGAAGCTCATTTTATCTTTAGGTTTTCTATTCTGTTTCATATGCCTACATATTTATTTTTATGCCAATGCCAAGTTATTTTGATTATTGTGAACTTGTAATATATACTGAAGTCTGAATTAGTAAAAATTTCCTTGGCTATATGTTTTTTTTTTTTTTTCTGGTTCCACACGAAATGAAGCATTATTTATTCCAATTCCTCAAAGTACAATGTTGGTATTTTAATTGGATGCATTAAATCTGCAGATTGCTTTGGGTAGTGTATACATTTTAATAATGTTGATTCTTCCCAGCCAAGAGCATGGTATGTTCTTTCATTTGTTAATTTCTTCTGCTATTTCTTTTTTGGAGGGTTTCATATTTCTCTTTGTAAAGATCCTTCACCTAATTTGTGAGGTATATTACCAGATATTTCATTTTCTTTGAAGATACTGTGAAGGGTATTGTGTCCTTAGTTTGCTCTCAACTTGACTGCTATTGGCATATACAAAAGCTACTGATTTGAGGACATTGATTTTATACCCTGAAATATTACTATATGTCTTGATAACTTCCAGGAATCCTATGGTTGAGTCTCTAAGGTTTTCTAATTATAAGATCATATCTTGACAAAAAGCAATTGGTTGACCTCCTCTGTTCATATTTGGATGCCTTTTATATCCTTCTCTTGCCTGATTCCATTGGCTAGAACATCTAGAACTATGTTGAATAGTAGTGGAAATAGTGGAGATCTTTGTCTGCTTACAGTTATACATGGAAAAGCTTTCATTTTTACTCTATTCAGCATATTGGCTATGGATTTGTCATAAATGATTTTTATCGGTTAGAGAAATGTGCCCTCTCTGCCTATTTTCTTATGTGCTCTTCTTAGAAAAGGATGCTGAATTTTGTCAAATGCTTTTTCTGCATGTATTGAGAGGATCATATAGTCTTTGTTTTTGCTTCTATTTATGTAGTTAATTACATTTATGGATTTGCATATGTTAAGCCATTCTGGCATCTCTCAGATAAAATCTTCCTGTTTGTGATGCATAAGTTTTTAATATGTAGGTGTAATTATTTGATTAATTTTATGGAGTATTTTCACATTGATAATCATTAGCAAAATTGATCTGTAGTTATCCTCTTTACTTGGGTCCTTTTCTGGTTTTGATATCAGGGTGATTTTTGCTTTATAGAACCTGTTGGAGAGGGTGCCTTCCTATTAAATGTTTTTGAATAGGGTCTGCAGTATAGGTAAAAGCTCTTTGAAGGTTTGATTGAATTCTGGTGTGAAGGTGTCTGGTCCAGGGCTTATTTGGGGGGACCCTTTTGTTGTTTCTTCAGTTTCAGTGCTTGATATTAGTCTGTTCTAGAGATTCATTTCTTCCTAGTTAAGTTGTAGAGAGTTTGTGTGAATCCAGGTATTGTTTCAATTCCTCCACACTGGCAAATTTCTGGGCATAGAGTTTCTTATACTAGTCAGAGATAATCTCTTCAATCTCTCTGGCATCTATTGTTATTTCCCCATTTTCTTTCTGATTAAGGTTGTTAGAGATATTACTTTGATGTTTCTAGTTAATTTGGCAAATACCTTATCAATTTTATTTATCTTTTCAAAGAATCAACTTTTTGTTTCATTAATTTCTTTGAATTATTTTTTTATCATTAAAAATATTTTATTAAGGGAATTTTGTTATTAAATCATATCTGTGTACATTAATGCTATTATGGGGTACAGAGTGCTACTGCTATATACAATTTGAAATACTTCCATCCAACTGGTTAACATACCCTTTGTGTCATTTTCTTAGTTATTGTGCTAAGACATTTATATTCTACATTTAGAGAGATTCACATGTACCCTTATAGGATAAACCATAGGCATAATCCCACCAATCACTCTCCCTCCACCCATCCTCCCCAATTCCCTCCCTTCTCTCTCCGCTTTCCCCACATTCTTGGGCTAAAATTGGGTTACAGTTTTCCTATGAAAGCTATAAATTAGTTTCCTATTAGAGCTGTGTACATTGGATACTTTTTCTTCCATTCTTAAAATACTTTGCTAAGAAAAATTTTTTCCAACTCCATCCATGTAAACATGAAGGAGGTAAAGTCTACATCTTTCTTTATGGCTGCATAGTATTCCATGGTATACATATACCACAAATTATTGATCCATTCGTGGGTCAATGGGCACTTGGGCTTCTTCCATGACCTAGCAATTATGAATTGGGCTGCAATGAACATTCTGATACAAATGTCTTTATTGTAGTGTGATTTTTGGTCTTCTGAATGTATACCTAGTAGAGGAATTATAGGATCAAATGGCAGGTCTATTTTTAGTTCTCTAAGTGTACTCTAGATGTCTTTCCAAAAGGAACACATTAGTTTGCAATCCCACCAGCAGTGTAGAAGTATTCCCTTTTCTCCACAACCATGCCAGCATCTGTGATTTAGGGATTTGGTGATATGGGCTAACTTTACTGCTGTTAGATGATATCTCGAAGTAGTTTTGATTTTCATTTCTCTGATGATTAAGGATGGTGAGCATGTTTTCATATGCTTGTAGGCCATGCACCTTTCTTCTTCTGAGAAGTTTCTATTCAAGTCCCTTGCCCACCCTGAGAGGGGATCACTTGTTCTCTTCTTGCTAATACATTTGAGTTCTCTGTGAATTCTGGTTATTAAGCCTTTGTCAGAGACATAACTAGCAAATATCTTCTCCCATTCTGTCTTTTCAAATTCATTTACTCCTTATTTAACCTTGGTTATTTCTTTTATTCTGCTAGGTTTGGTTGGATTGCTCTTCCTTTTCTATTTCCTTGAGATGATTCATTAAGTTTTGATGAACACTCTTTCTGTTTTTCATTTGTTGGCATCTAATGTGATAAATTTTCCTCTTAAGACTGCTTTTTCAAAATTCCACAGGTTTTGGTCACTTTTGGCTTCATTGTTATTATTTTCAAGGAATCTATTAATTTCCTTCATCATCTCCTCCTTGACCCAATTGTCATTCAGCTTAAGGTTGTTTACATGACTTTGCGTGGGGATAAGAATTTTTATTAGAGTTTAATTACACCTTTATTCCCTTCTGGTCTGAAAGATATACGTTCAATTCTTTTAATTTTGTTGCACTCTGACTTGTGTCTTAGGATATTATCAATTTTTGAGTATGATGCATAGGCTGATGATAAGAACATATACTTATTATTTTGGGGGTGATATGTTCTGTATGTATCTATTAAGCTCCAAATTTCTAGGGTGACATTTAAATTCCTTGTTTCTTTGTTCAGTTTCTATTTAAAGTACCTACCCAGATCTGTCAAAGGGCTGTTAATGTCACTAGCTATTATGGTGTTATAGAATATCATATTTTTCAGGCCAATTAAGATTTGTTTCATAAATCTGAGAGCATTTAATTTGGGTGCACATATATTTAGAATTGAAGTATCATCTTGTACTATTGTTCCCTTGACCAGTGTATAGTTACTATCTTTTTCTTAACTTTAGCATTTTTTTAAAATTCACCTGTATCTGAAAATAAGATTGCCACCCCTTCTTTCTTTTACTTTCCATTTGCCTAAAATATTGTTTTCAAATCCTACATCCTAGTCTTGTTTTGTCCTTAGAAGTTATGTGTTTTCTCGAGACATTATGTAGATGACTTGTGCTTTTTCATCAACCAGCTTGTGCTTGCTCATTGGGGAATTCAAACCATTCACATTTATTGAAAGAATTAATAAATGTGGTGGTGTTATATTAATCTGATTTTGTGAAAGTCCATTGCTTAGTTTTGTTTTGTTTTTTCTCTTAGTAGCATTGTGGAAGATAGGCTTTTCCCTTTAGTTTCTTGCTGTCTAATTTGCTGGTGGTCCATTGTGATAGTTATTGTGGAGAATAAGTCTGAGTATTTCTTTCAGAGCTGGTCTTGTAGTGGCAAATTTCCTCAATGTTTTCATGTCAGTAAGAGTTTCAATTTCTTTATCAAATTTGGAGCTGAGTTTACCAGTATACAGAATGCTGGGCTGAAAATTCTTTTGCTTAAGAAAGTTAAGTCCAATGAACACCCTCTTTTGGCTTGAAAAGTTTCAGCTGAAAAGTTCATTGTCACTCTGATGCAGGGATCCTCAAACTTTTTAAACAGTGGGCCAGTTCACTGTTCCTCAGACCATTGGAGGGCCAGATTGTGGGCCCCAGGATGAATTGTCTTCTGAGCATGACAGGCAGCGGCCGCAAAAACACCTGGTGGGCTGGATAAATGTCCTCAGTGGGTCGCATGTGGCCAGCGGGCTGTAGTTTGAGGACCCTGGATTCTGCCCCCAGGTCAATTGGTGCTTACTACTGGGTGCTTATAAAATTTAATTTTCTCTTCCATTTTGACCAGGTTCATTACAACATGTCTTGGTGATAGTCTGTTTGTTTTGAAATGAACTGGGGTCCATATTCATGTGAAACCATTTTGTCAGAATCTTTGTTGATTCTTGGGAAATTTTCATTTATGACTTTTTCCAGTAGGGCTGCCATTCCTTTAGATCAGCGGTTGTCAACCTGTGAATCATGACCCATAGGAACTGGATTAAAGGGTTGCAGCATTAGGAAGGTTGAGAACCACTGCTTTAGATCATTTTTCTTTTGAATACTGTATGAAGTTCCAAAATTCTCTAAGCTATTGTTCTGCTCTTCCTCTCTTCTTTTCTGCATTTTAAACACTTGAGTTAGCTCATAATTTTTATCTCTAGCTCTAAAATTATTTCTTATCCATGGTCTAATGTACATATATGGAACAATTCATGAATTTGCATGTCATCCTTGCACAGTGGCCATGCTAATCTTGTCTGTATTGCTGCAATATTAGTATATGTGCTGCTGAAGCACATATACTAAAACTGTAGTGCTTTTTACTCTGAGAACACTTAGCTTGTATTGAATCATTTTTGGTTGCTATGAATGAGAAGGTTCTACTAGTATGTAGTGGGTAGATGGCAGGAATGTTATTGCACATCCTACAGTTACAGAAATTATCATATTGCCTGAGCAAAGATATAGCCAAAATAATCCAATATCTAACCAAAAGTGCCAATTTTGCTGAGCTTGAGAACCTAAAAATACTAGAAGAAAGTGCAGGGAAAACCCTTGAAGATATCAGCCTGGGTGAACATTTTATGAGGAGAACACCCCAGGCCATTGAAGCAACATCAAAAATACACTATTGGGACCTGATCAGACTAAAGAGCTTCTGCACAGCCAAGGACACAGTAAGTAAGGCAAGCAGACAGCCCTCAGAATGGGAGAAGATTTTTGCAGGCTATATCTCCGACAAAGGTTTAATAACTAGAATCCATAGAGAACTAAAACGTATTAGAAAGAAGAAAACGAGTGATCCCATCTCAGGGTGGGCAAGGGACTTGGAGAGAAATTTCTCTGAAGAAGATCGGCGCACGGCCTACAGATATTTACTGTAGTAAAATATATTATTTCATAGTTTATTTTGTCAGAAGATAAGGTATTACTCTCTGTCTCTTTGTATGTTCATCTACAAAATGGGAACAAAATAACTGTTTCTACCTTCTTTACATAATTGGCATAAAGATGAATAGTATACACTAATATATTTAAAATATTCACTAATATAAAAGACTTAAATGTATAAAAAATGATGATGACAGTAGAAATACTGGCCTGATATACAAACCCTGAATATATTTGTAATGCCATATCCTGAGAACTATGCCAGAGTAGATCAGGAGTCAAGTCAAAGTTTTAGTTAAAAATAAAAATAATTTTTTTTAGTTAAATAAAAATAAATATTTTCAGTTATTTTTTAAGTTAAATAACAATAATCTTTTTAGTTAAAAATGAAAATAATCAAAAAAGTTAATTTTAATATTATTTTAACTGTTACACATGTATATATATAGAGAGAGACTTTATTTTCAGACTAGGAAACATTGTTTTTACAGATAATATTTACTTGAAAAACAATTTTTCATAAACAGTAAAAAAAAAAAAAAAAAAAAGAACTCTTCATTTGCTTGCCTGTCTCTTATCTCTAGGTAACTTACACAAATATAATACAGCTATTTTGAGGGAAGGTTAAAGCAGAAAAAGACAGAATATGTACATTGTGTCCCCAAAGGAAGTACAGTGGAATAGTCAGCTTTCTGAAGTTTTTCTGGGAATGAATTTTGTCACCTTTCAAATTTATTTTGTTATTGATGAAAAGCAAACATCTATACTCAGCCTGGAATTAGCTATATATCCTACAGTACTTCATCATTCTGAATTAAAAGGCCTCCTTTGTATTCCAAGGGAATTATTTTTAGATGCTGTACATGGATTCTTCTAGATATTTTTAGATTCTGAAGGATTCACTGAACATCTTCCACTAGTTGGAAAATTTGATTCAATAACACATTCAATCTTTACTTTCAATAAATCTACTATCTGGTTGAAAAGTTTCATTAAGCAAAATATGTGCATAATTGAATATGGTAAACTGTACTTAAAAAGGATACCATTTTATTATTAAAGGTAAAGCAGGTATTGTCTATCATTGAATGAAAACATATATAACAGAATTGTCAAATAATTATTCCAGTTAAGAAATTCCACCAAATTATTACAGTGGAGCTATTTAAATATTTAACTCTTTTTAAAAAACTTTATTCACATTAATACGAAGGTACAATATTTAGGTTACATTGTCCTTACTTTCAGATTAAAGTTCCATTTGTAGAAGAGCCCCTCACCCAGGGGGCATGTTATAAACCCTCACAATATTCATGTTAGGTGAGATCCCACCTCATACCCTCCTTCCTTCTGCCAGACATCCTTCTTCCTCCCTGCCCCCGTATCCTCTACCCACAAAATGGACTATATTAGTGTTTTATTATTCTTATGAGTATGTAACTATGTATATATTGATTTCATATTAGTATTGAGTACATTGGATATTCACTTTTCCACTCTTACAATACTTTACTAAGAAGAAAGTATTTCAACTCCATCCAGCTAAATGTAAAAGAGGTGGAGTCTCCATCATTTTTAATGGCTGAATAATATGTTATGGTATAAATATACCACAATTTGTTCATCCATTTATGGATTGAAGCACTTAGGTTGCTTCCAAGACTTAGCAATCATGAACTGAGCCATAATAAACATCCTAGTGCAAATGTCTTTGTGGTAAAATGATTTTTGTTCTTCTAGGTAGATACTTAGTAATGGGATTGCAGTGTCAAATGCAAAGTCTACTTTTAGACTTTTGATGATTCTCCATGCTTCTCTCCAAAAAGGCTGTATTAGTCTGAAATCCCACCAGCAGTATAAAAGTGCTCTCTTTTCTCCACACCCATGCCAGCATCTGGTATTTTGGGACTTTGTGATGTGAGTTAATCTTGCTGGGTTAAGGGACATCTTAGAGTGGTTTTGATTTGCATATCTCTGATAATTGAATACAGTGAGCATTATTTCATGTGTTATTTGGTCATTCATCTGTCATCCTCTGAGAAGTTTCTGTTCAAATTTCTTGCCCACTTATAGAGAGGGTTTTCTTCACTTTTCATATTGTTTAATTTGAGCTCTCTGTAGATTCTAGTTATCAGGCCTTTGTCGGATTCATAACATCCAAAAATCTCCCATTCTGAGGACTTTCTGTTTGCTCTGTTTATGGTACTCTTAGCTGTACAAAAGCTTTATAGCTTGATCAACTCCAAGTTATTTATTTTTGGTTTTGTTTCAATTGCTGAGGGGGGTCTTCCTCATAAAGATTTTTGACCAGGCCAATATCTTCAGTGTTTTCCCCACGCTCTATTCTAGAATTTTTGTTTCATGTCTTAAATTTAAATATTTTATTCAATGATAATCAATTTTTTTTCAATGGTCAGAGGTGCAGGTCCAGTTTCAGTCTTCTGCATGTGGATAACAAGTTCTCCGAGAACCATTTGCTAAATAAGGATTCTTTTCCCCAGTGAATATTTTTGTTAGGCTTACCAAAGGTTAGATGACAACATTTGGCTGGGTTCACCTCTAGATTCTCCATCCTACTCCATAGATCTACATCTCTATTTTTGTGTCTATACGATGCTGTTTTGATCACTATAGCTTTGTAATATAACCTGAAGTCTGGCAATATGATGCTGCCAGATTTGTTTTTCTTTCTAAGAACAATATTTGTTATTCAGGGTTTTTTCTGGTTCCATATAAATTGAAGTACTATTTTTTCAAGATGTTCAAAGTATGACATTGGTGATTTGGTAAGGGTTGCATTAAACCTATAGATTGCTTTGAGTAGTATCAATATATACAAATCTCAAAATATAACACACCACATAAATAGAATAAAAAACAAAGACCATATGATTCTTTCAATTGATGCAGAAAAGGCTTTTGACAATATCCAGCATCCGTTCATATTTAAAAACACTCAAGAAAATAGGCTTAGAATGAACATTCCTTAACCTGATAGATGCTATCTATAGCAAACCCACAGCCAATATCATATTGAATGGAGTAAAAATGAAAGCATTCTCACTCAAATCTGGAACCACACAAGGATGCCCACTGTCTCCACTGCTACTGAACATAGTGTTGGAAGGCCTAGCCATTGCAATCAGGCAAGAGAAGATCAAAGAAATGCAAATGTGGGCAGGGGAGGTCAAACTCTCCCTCTTTGCAGATGACATGACTTATACCTGGAAAACCACAGAGACTCAACTACAAAGCTCTTAGAAGTGATCAAGGAATATAGCAGCCTTCCAGTATACAAAATCAAAACCCACAAATCAGTAGCTTTCATATATGCCAATAATTGTCAAACAGAGAATAAAATCAAAGCCTCTATTCCTTTTACAATACCACCAAAGAAGATGAAATACCTAGGAATATATCTAACAAAAGATGTGAAAGAGCTCTGTAAATATTATTATGAAACTTTCAGAAAGGAAATAGAAGATGTTAACAAATGGAAGAACATACCATGCTCATGGATGGGAAGATTAAACATTGTTAAATATTTAAGTCTTAAGGGGAGTTGGGAGAGGAATAGTTAAATTCTCACCTAATGTACACCATGTAAGGGTATGCAGCACAATTCTTGGATGAAGGGCTCAACTATGACCTGAACTTTACCTTAGAAATGCAAACAATGTAACCTAATCATTTATACTTTTATATTAGTCTGAAATCAAAATAAATGAATAAATATTTTAGTCTTAGAGAGTCAGTTAAATTTCCCATATAATAAAAGCTAACTATGCAGTGGATTTTAATATTTGAATAGTTTAAAATGGCTGTACTAGGTCATATGGATTGACACAAATTTCAATATATTCCAATCATCTATGGAATACTGAAGACATATTAATTATTTTTGGTGAGTATTTTCGTTACTTTTGTATGTTTTACCAGGAAAAATTTAGTCATACCCTTTATATGTAACAGACATCTGAATACTTATTTTAAAAGGTCCAAACTACACTGAGAAATAATTTAAAAAGATCAAATTTTGATGTAGAAGAACTTTTAACAAGGAAATGATTATTATATATAATAAACAGAATTTTATCATTATCCATGATAATTGAATTATTTAACATGCAAAACAGTAAAAATACTACATACATTTTATTATATTTCTACATCCATTCTATGAGTATTGATTATCTAATTGTATTTTCCATGATAATAAATAAAAAGCCTAAAACCACCTCTAAATTCACTTTAAGACTATTTTACTCAAACTAAGTAAATGATTGCACATATGCTTTCTAAAAGGGAAAACAATCTTTGTGTGACAAAACAGCTAACCCACATAAACAAAATAGTGTATGTTTACTTGATTTATTTATTGGATATTGAGGTAATCATCAGTATTA